CAAGATTATCAGTTAAGTCCCTTCTTTTCAGCAACTAACTCGCGCGTGTTTCTATTGTAGTCGTATGAAAATAAAGGACATAATTGCGTTCTTGAGGCATTGAGAAAACAATCATTTACCGCAATGATACTTGTTGCTATCTTCGTTGCTCTTCCGCCTTCCTTCTGGGCTTGTCTACTTCAACGTCAGAATTTTCAGCATTACTTCAGCTTTCTACAATGCATTAAAGTAACTTTATTGTCAAAGCAACGAATATACAACAAAGTTAAACGAATCGGTGTTTAAGTAAATTCTGATTAGTTACAGTACAGCATATAAAAGAGGTGAAACTATATATATTTATCATTTTTAACAATTTACTAAATTACTTCTTTTCTATTTAGTTCGTCGTGGATATTACTTTCATACGATTATCGTATCAAAGTACACATAGAGTAAACTATTTTTACCGAATAATTAAACACAACGTTACTCTATTTCCTTATAAATGTATTCATTGTTTATTCTTCTTCCAATATTTACAGATAGTATTTGCTGTTATCAATTTTCACACGTCTAACTGAGAACGACGTAATTAAAAATGTTTAACAAATTACTCGACGACGAGACTCTTCTCCTCGTAGCAATGCTACTACTTCCTCTTTCGGATTCATGCTCAACTTGTCCCTTAATGATAACGACGTAATTAAAAATGTTTAACAAATTACTCGACGACGAGACTCTTCTCCTCGTAGCAATGCACCTAGCTACTACTTCCTCTTTCGGATTCATGCTCAACTTGTCCCTTAATGATGTACAGGTGAACGTGACGTAGGTTAGGAATGATAAACGTGGCAGAATTTCGTGGCAACATTTTACATAACAATTTATTCAACTTTTCTTTTCTTTTTTACATTTGTACATAATTCCAAACAAGTACCTACTTCTCTACCTCTCCATGAACCATATACGTGATAATTTTAGCTGAAACGATGAATAATGAGCGTGATATTCATGCGAGAATGGTATCGACAATAAATCCGCTACATGTCCGAAACTAATCTAATCGTGAATTACCTACGCGGAAATTTTTTCACATAGAAGGAATCGAGCTTTGTCTTCACGTAGCCTTTTCCGTCTGCTTCACATTTCCCCCCTCGGGTTTCTCCTTTACAGCCTCAGTTGCCTTCGGTTCTTCTATTTTCGCGTCGTCCATTGGCATTTCTTCTTTCGCAGCCTCGGCGGCTATCTCCATGATTCGCTCAGGTATTATGTTAACCGGTTTCCTTTTTCCGCTTTCAACGGCTTCGGACTTTTTCAACAACAATTTCTCCTCCTCTTTTGCGTTCTCTATTTCAACGATTATTTCCGGTACATCGGGCGCTATCGCCTGTCTCACATTCTCTTCGCTACTATTTTCTGCGGTTTCTTCAGCCGGTGCCACTGGATTTGTGTCTAAATACGCGCAGTCTTCCTGATCCGTTTTCACGAAGAACGTTTTCGAAATTTTGTACTTATCCAAAACGGCGTAAGCCTGATCAAAGAACACATTACACAGTGAAATATCATAGGTTTTCTTCACGAAGTAGAGCTTCTAATTTCAAATTTCTTAGGTTTCACTTTAAATTTCTGATGTTAACGTTTTCTATTTGCTAACTTGTTAACAATGGGCGAAAATTAAATTATCCAAAGTAGCGATTAAATTTGTCGAATTTAATGGATAGATAATTCGATTAATTTGAAGCGTTTAGAAACGTGAATGAAAGGAATGTTACCTTTTGTAAAACTGTTCCTGGCGCCAGTCTCTCCCTCGTCATGACCCACGCATTTTGCGTGTGGAATGGTCCGATACCAGAGCAGCTCCACAAAACTGCGTAGCTATCGTAATCTGTTTCAAGTATAGAATACTTCGTTTCGGGGGTCAATGGTATCGTGTATTTTACAGTCAGTTTTCCCGCTTCGGCTTTCGACGGAGCTCTCTTCACTTCACCTTCCACCACTCTCTTGATGCCCGTGCTGAACGATCAAGTAATTACAGATTTTTAGAAGTAATGCAATCGAAGGTACGATGTTTCTTTAAACGTGTACATAAATTCAGCACTATTGAAATGTGAGCGAGAAGAAGAATCTTCCATTATCTAGGTACGAAGTGTAGTTTTTAGAAAAATAATGACAAAGTTTCAACAGCGTTGCAGCTAATAAAATACTTCACTTGACGTGGATCACGCCCGAAGACTTGAAACAATGGAAACACATAATGTAGATTGTGTTGGCGAATTTAAGGGCTATGCCAGAAATGTTGAAAAGAGAATTTTGAAAAAGACCTTTTGTCAAGTGAAATGATCCTAAATAAAATATTTTGTAATAAGGACAGTTTTTGTAAAGCTTCTTTTCTAATCCTATTGTCAGATTTAAGTAACCAATTTCATATGAATAAATTTAGACGAAGAAGTAGCAATCTCAATTACGCAATTTCTATTGAAACGCTGCTTTTCACGAAAGCCCTAGCTCCTTCCTGCACTGGACTTTAATTATCGAAAAATTCTTGTTCGTTTCGACTTACAATCTGTTCGTCACTTCGTTGCTGACACGAATCTTGCCGCCGGGGGCCGACGTGTAGTTCGTCGTTACGCATCGTGATATTACTTCTGTCAGCTGAAAGTACCTCTCTGCCTCGTACCAGACACCTAAGAACTGAAAGAAGAATTAAAATTGTCTATCCGTCGTGTAAATTGCATACATTTTGCTACTTCTTGTCGTTAGCCCCTTAACATATGATTTCTTTTCCGACTATGCATTTAAGCGTCAGCCATATTTACTGTTTTAGCATTGTACCAGGCAACAGTAGCTAATCTGTTACAGATTAATTGCATTCGGTAATCCTCAGTCGAGATTACAATGAATTTTTCTTACTAATGTAACTATTCTCGTCACATCTTGGCCAGAATCTCTGCCACGAGTCTGACACGTTGTCATATGTTAAGGGGTTAATGCTACAAAATTAATTCTATTTCAATAAACAGCCGTAATGACACACTGCTGTCTATAACTCACCAGACTTGTCAGCTCTGAATGAAATGTTTATCCAGACAAATTAAAAGGAAGTCTTAGAATTAACACAACAACTTGAAACTACGAAAGTTCGCAGTTACTCGAGACTTGCTAAATGTTGGACGATTTAGGAACAGTAACGTGTATCCGTGAATGCTGTGCTCGTCATTCCGAGGTTGAAGCTTATTGTAGAGAGAATAAATGTTGAATAGTATTTACCTTGGTCATATCAAAGTTTGCCATGGGTACGTAATCTGGACAGAAACCCAGACTGGGTATCTGGGCCCTGGCCAGGGCCAACGCCGAAAGAATGAAAACTATCTTCCCGATCATGTCTACTGTTGATCTGCCGTGAGCATACTTTGAACCTCTTGCCTTATATACATTAACCAGGGAGTGCAAGAGCGTTGACCGGACACTACCCCCTCTGTTTTACCTACACGTGAATATTCTTACGGTACTCTCCGTGGTCACCAGACGATGATCATTGGTCAATGCTGCCATTGACTTCTTGGCAAGAGGTTCAGCTAAGGTGGTACACGACGACCCGCCAACAAGCGGGCAACACAACCTCCATTATGCAATTTCTCGACAACGGTACTGTCTGTCAATGAAAAGATGGATTCCTTGCTGCTGGATCGGTGTCAGTCAATTTGACGAGACGCCAACTTTTCATGGATACGTACGAGTATTGTAACGGGCCCAACCGTGACTCTGTCAAATTCTCGGCAATTCGTTGCTTCGAAAACTCTACAAACTTGGTTCGTTCTCCTTCTTCACGGTGAATTATTCCGGTGCCTTGTACATAAGTCGTAAAATGATGTGAAATTTTATTGTACTTCTTCTAGCCTTTATATTAAGTAATGCGAGCATAAATACTATAAATATATAGTATTCGGGTATGTTCGATAAAATTATTGCGTAAGGTATAGAAAAAAAAAATTGGAATGCTTAAAAGTGTGTAATATCTTTTATGTAAAGTAGCTCTTATGCTGTGCAGTTTAAGTATAATCCTTTATCAGATTACTATGAATAATTTATGCAGCTCTTCTTGCCTGTCCGTTATTTTCAAACGAATCAATCACTCGCATGAGTTATCAGCAATGCAAATACGTAACTAGTTTCGAGCGCAACTTGCTATACGATTTAGTATGCTTTTGGTATCTTTTAGGGGTTGCTACGTTGATTTGACGTCCTTTAAAATTCACTATAATTCAATACAGATGTTTTCAGAGCAGAACATTTTGAAAAAAGATAAAGTTATTCACAAGAATTGTATTCACTGAACTGAGTACACAAAAATCTTTGCACAAAGTTATTTGTATTTTCCTATTTATATACTGGTTCATTTGGTCTAAATGTACGAAACCTTTTATCGTTGAAAAAATCTTTAATGACAAAACTAAATAAAAAGATAAATCCCCCAAAAAAACCCCCCAGCCACTTGGAAGCCGAAATCACTAACTCCGCCAAATTACACTTTTTAAAGATTTTTTATTTATGAAGAATTAAGCACTAAGCACGTGCTCTGATACTAAAATTAGAAGAATGTCAAAAAGTGGAGTTAATCACTTCAGCTTCTGAGTGAAAAATGACGCGATAGTGAATCATATCTGATACTTTCGTTTTCATGTTCGTTTCAGTAAGGACAAATTTCTGTGTCGTTGCACATAAAAATTTGTCACTTGTCAAAGCTCCACAAGTGCAGGATTACGGTGTAGCAACCATCTTGGAATGCACGATTGTGAAACTTGTACCTTTGATGGTGTTAATCGTCTTCCCGCAGTCATTCATGAAGCCTGGTTTCAGCAACCTCGACCTTCATCGTTTGTGCTCACAAATAGAGCGGATAGATGACAAACGTGGTCAAGTTTTCCTCCATGGAAACAAGTACGAACTGGTCATAACTTGTAACGTTGCAATAATGCAATCGAAACTGTTAACAGACAGTGCTCAACCCTAGTGCATTTTTCCGTTCGACTGTAAATTTGTCCTTGGGTCAAAAATGACCCGAATATGTATGGAACTCGTATTTTTAACTTTATAATGTAACGAGAGGACTAAGGAAATATGTAGGGGTATCCAGTCGCATCAGTTATAGAAAAACAATACATTCTACTTAAATTGTTCTTTTGTAACAGGTTTTATATACTTAGAAACAGTACTAGTTGCATATGAATTTTGTACATTTTTCACCGTTTAACGTGCTTTGTGACAAACTCCTCCTTTTTTCGATTTAGTCTAACGATGTCGATGCAACAAGTCCCCCCAAATTTTTTATGCCGTTTAAAATTTCTTTAGCACCTTTTGTTCGTGGAAAGTGCTTTCGTTGTTCCATACGATCTTGCGTCAAAGCATTTCCCAAATTTTTTATAAATGTAAGAGATTTTCTGAAAGAGATTAGTTTCCATGTAGGACATATTTTCCTAAAACGAATACACGTATACAAATGTTCAATACTGACAGATCCAGAATGTTTGCAGAAAACTGCAACTGGCTACCGACTACTTTTTCTTTTTGTTGCACAATTAGACACTATTTTGTCAAGTGTATCGACTGATCCCTTCGTTGCATGAAATGATGGTTTGGAGAATGACGCATGAAATACAAGTTGAATCTTTTGTAAATGCAAACATTGAAGAACCAATGATACGTTCTTTTGTAGTAGTTCTGGTGGAATGGCGAGTTTATTTAACCTTATTGTCCCTACTATTGTTACTCCTAATTGCAATACTTCTTTACCTAATTGGTGATGTAAAAAAAAGTCGTCACACATTATATTCTGTCCTTTTATTTCGAAAGATAGATTCAGAACAACTGGAAGACTGTTGTTTTTCAGCAGCATTTCCGGCAGTTAGATATATTGTCACATAGAATCCAAAATTGTATTCCATGCTTTGCCAGTTTGGAAGGCACATATTCTGTAAATGGGCATTTGCTTCTAAATCTCATAAGCTGTTAGTCGACTGTTATGTGCAGCTCTGGATTACACAGTTTTGGTAATAGTTCAACCCATTTTTTTTATAACTTATCTTTGTCCCGATTTTGAGTTTCTCGATCGTGAAATCGGAAAACCCAGCAAATCACTTCCAAGACTATCATGATTTTCAAGACTATCCAGACTTTCAGGGCTAACAAGACATTCAAAGCTTTCAAGATCACTAAGCTTCGAACATGTTCAAAATAATTCGAATTTTTTGTCGCGTCACAGATTCGAAGGAATTCCTCTGACGACCGTTTCATAAATATTCAAGGGACTCACCGTGATTACTGACTGTAATTTGTATAATATTTGTCTGCTAGTATTATAATACTGGGTTAGCCAATAAGCAATGTCGGATTTTTCCGTAAAAGATCGTTTCTGCTGTTTTTAGAACAAAAGATTATTCGTAACCTGCAAAATCCAAGCATAGCCTAAAAGCTGAAATTTTAACGTGTAAGTAAAAAAGGAAAAGGTTCATTATATCTGGTTAAATTTTTTTACTGTTTATTTTTTTTATCGGTAAGATTAAAATCTCCATCACAAAACTTTTTTAACCATCTTTGCACCATTCTTTTACTTACACCACCATCATCATACATACAGTGCGAAGACAAAAAAGCATAATTGCACGAAAATCATCTACTCGTTTATCTTCATATCGAAATGAACCCTAAAAAAATTTAACCAAATGTAACGAACATTTTTTTTTTTTTCAATTATACGTTAAAAACTCAGCTTTTAGGCTATACATGGGTTTTACAGGTTGCAAATAATCTTTTATTTTACAAACAGCTGAAATGAGCTCTTACGGAAAGATCCGACAATACTTATTGGCCAAATCAATAGTAAACTACTATTCTAGCAATTTTCCCTATTTGTATTTTCTAATATAATACTCTCTACGTGAGGAGGGAAGAACAGTTTAAACAAGCTGTATTCGCCTGTTATCCTTCCAGCAACATATCTCGCGATTCCTCCAGTAAGTCGTGGAAATTTTCCTCTGGCGTTTGTAGGCGGTTGCTTTGTCTGTTCGGTGACTTTATCTTTCGACAACTACACTTCCTTACTGCCATTTGACAGATTAATCTGAACTACTGGAACCACACTCAGAAACATGACCTTCTGCTTCGTACTCCTCTTCAGCCGGTGAAAAATTCAATTGGTTTTCTTCGCAAGTCTATGATAAAAACGCAGGTAAATGCTTATAAGCACATGAGAACTGTCTTCTTCCACGATTCACTCTGCACTGTGACTTCAAGCGCATCTTCGCAAATTGCTAAACCCGGTGTTTAGATCTCCATCACGGCTCTTTAGCGATAAGTCTCTCCCGCTGATGAAACGAAACCGAGCACACACACGTAAATTCCTACGCAACCCTAAAAAGTCCTGCACTGAATGTATGCAACGACACAAGAATTTTCCTTTTGTCACTGCTAAAAGTGTGCTAGCCATTTTGTATCATCTACGTCCCTTTCTCCATTTTATTTTCGCTCGTTACTTTATGATGCTTGAGCATGATTAATTTCTGTCATGAAATGCCAGAAAAAAAAATGCCTGAGGACCTTGTGTTTACGAGTGACATATGAACCTGCAAAATGAGTTTTTTTTTTAATATTAGGTCAATCCATAAGTTCGTGCCGAAAGTGAAAACCTTTTTTTTTAACGGAAGTCCAAGGAAATTTTATAGCGACGACGTAACGTCTTACCGCGAAAAATAGGAAAAAGTTATGGAATTAGAAAGCGCTTTCGTTTTTTCTTTTAATCGAATATAAAGGTTCGTTGGAAATATTGATCTAAATTACAAACTTCGACACGAACTTGTGGGATGACCTAATACAATGTTAAAGACAGAGAAAGAAATATGTCGGTAACAGTTTCATTATAGTTTTTGAACAAAGAAGGACGCGATGGGTCGAAAAAGACGCGAACACTATAGCAGGGTTAAACACATAACAACTATATATGTATGAAGCGTAGCCTGTCTGTAACGGGTCTCTCGACGAGTTTTCTTTTTGTATGAAATGGTTGGTCGTTGGAACCGTTAGTTTCGAGTAGAAGCCCCCCTAACTACAATCTAATAAATCCATAAATGGTGGACCGCTATAAGAAGGATTTAATAAATTTCACTCGGCAGACGTGAGTTACCTTTATCTCGCTTTGACTGTTCTATAAACAACTTGGAATACTTGCGAGTATTTTAATTTTGAACGATGGAAATTATTTTACCATGTTTGTCGTTTTTAAATAAGTGTAACAGTATTCTGAAAATGGTGCGACACCATCGTTTGAAACATTTCGAAACTGTCCTTAAATACTGTGAAAATAATAAGTACCGCTTTTTCATGTATTAAGAATAGTGAAATAATTTTTCTTTTTACATTTTGTGTATTGGGTTGGACCATAAGTTCATAAAATTCGTAAAATTCATAAAATCGACAAATTTGTCTATCAACTATATGTACACTATCGTCCATAAGTATTTGGACACCCTATAAAACGGAGTAACTTTTTTAAAATTGGGCCAAACGACTAGAGTTTTTTGAGAAGTTAGAAAGATTAGTTCACTAGACGACGTGTACAAAAAGTTTTGAAAAAATTGCAGTTTGTGGGAATCGCGAAGAAAATTGTAAAGGTCACGTTTTACAACTTTTTTATCTGAGCTCGTAATGAAAATTTAAAAAATAAGTTTTGCAGATCTGCGTGGATTATATACGTGCTGAAAATTTCATCGAAATCGGCTAATGTTGTTACGAGCTACGAACGGTTAAAGATTTTGAAAATCGCACTACAGTAAATTCTCCACAAGTGTCCGTCCGCAAGGAACCTCAACCTGACACTTGTAGAGTCAGGGACTACGTTTTCGAGCCTCGCGCTCGCCTTTGTAGTTTGCCGAACGTAGACAAGGACAGCGAATAAAAGATAAGGATGAAACGTGAGTCGAGGCAACCAAGCGATTTAAATACCAACTTTTTTAATTTTACGTTTTTTTATCCCGAAATTTTTCTTAACATATTGATGAGATTTTTCTGATGAAAATGACACCAAACACGATATAATTTGAACAACATGTCACGCCAGACAGTGAACGTGTTAATAAGTAAGTGTTGTTCAAATTATATCGTGTTTGATATCATTTTCATCAGAAAAATCTCACCAACATGTTAAAAAAAATTTCAAAATTGACTGACAATGAGCGAGATAACATAGGCGCAGCAATGACGCAGGCCTAGGCGTAGGACCATCTATACTGACACTTGTAGAATCCAAACTGACTGACACTTGTAGAGAATTTACTGTATTTCACGCCTGTAACTAATAAATCTGAAGATTCTTACATCTTTCGATGCCTGTCGCTTGTTTCTCCATCCACCTATTTCCTACAATTGACGTAGATCTGCAAAACTTATTTTTTAAATTTTCATTACGAGCTCAGATAAAAAAGTTGTAAAACGTGACCTTTGCAATTTTCTTCGCGATTCCCGCAAACTGCAAGTTTTTCAAAATTTTTTCTACACGTCATCTAGTAAACTAATCTTTCTAACTTCTCAAAAAGACTCGAGTCGTTTGGCCCAATTTTAAAAAAGTTATTCAGTCTTACAGGGTGTCCAAATACTTATGGACGGTAGTGTACATACATGATTCGATAGCTTACAAAAATGAGCATCTCCAATATGTTTCACTTTATAAAGTTCAATATCTGCCCATAACATTTGTACCGTCTGCGAGAAACGTTATGTTACTAACAGAACAGCACAAAAGTAACCAATTTTACCATAAACGATGAATTCGAACTGAGAAGATGCACTTCTCTCGTCGAACAGTGCTCCGCCATTTAAAGGACAATGGGAAAAGTGCGAAAACTTGGTTCACAGAGACTTCACATCGTCCGAGCCAAGAGAACAAAAACCAGGAAAAACCGCAGGAACTCGTGGACCAACCTAATAAACGAACAAGAAGCAGCGGAACAAAGTAAACACGAAGAAATGAACGAATTCCTTCCTCGTACCTTCACTTACATCGATAGGAGAAAGAAAGGATATTGATATGAGCCAGGTTCTTTTTTTTTCGCTCGCTTGTTTATCTTCTTTTACAGATTCCTCATCTGAATTAATTTATTTCTTGTAAATCTATGAACACTAAGAAAGCACGCGGAAAACGCTTTCCGCTCGGAAGATACTTAAATTCTACTCAGCTCTGACCAGGTGTCCGAAAGACAATACTTGTAAAATATTAACAACAGAGGGAGAAAAAAAGAAGAAAAACCGTGCACAATCTGTCGATACAAAGTGTAAATATCATTTCATCCCGAAAAGGTACGACGACAGATTGCTTTTTTTTTTTTCATTCGGAATCAAGACTTCGCGTAAATTACCTATCTCGTAGATTTGATCTCGAATAAGCAATAAACAACGAGAAAAATTTGCACTTGTCCACACGTATACGTCATCGCGATTCAAGTAAGATTTTCTCTTTTCTTTTCCAATCGAGCTCACCGAGGAAAGAACAGACTGACTATTTTCGAAAAAAAAAAAAAAATATTCGAGATGACCTCTGGACACATCTGGCCGCGAGCATCTGTGTGTATGTCGGTGTGTACGTGTTTGTGTTTATGTGTATATACACAATAAATGTAACTAATTAACGTTAAAATAATCTATGTACGTAATCCTAGTGCGCTTACGTCTTGAGAAGAGGGGACGAGGGTATTGGAGAGGGGGTTTCAGGGGGAGAGAGGATTTGTAAAGAGACACGACGAAGAGTTAATTATTAAAAATTATTTAGGCGGCTCACAGAAAGAAAAAGGATCGTCTGTTAGCTTCTTCCACTCGCAATTCGAAAGATTTCTCCTTTTTATTTGAAAGAGCCACGAGTTGCGCCCGTGCCATGCGTCGAGGCGTTGCACGCTAAACAATAATTACTTTATCTTTATTATTATTTAGTATCACATTGCGTTCACTGTTTTGTGCTGGCCATTTTTGCCTGGCTTAATGAAAGCGCATACCACCCCTCTAACCTCTTCTTACGTTCCTTTTCTCTTTACTTTTCTTTTTGTTTTACATATACATATTACGTTATAGTTTGCTTTCGTGACCCGTGTTTCGGTGACGAAAATGCCACAGTGAAGACAAATGGAACGAGCGATCTTATTCGGAATATTTCGCTGGCGGTATGAAAATGTGTCGAGAAATGGCGTCGTTGTAAAAATACGTCGAAGTTTCACAATTATTCGGATACTACTGAAATTTCCATAAAACGAAAGAACAGCTTTTCGTGTATGAATGTTTGGAATGTACCATACGGATATCGAAATGAACGTTAATGTTACTTTGGAAGAGCATCGGATTCGATTTCGAATTTGTTCAATCCCGGTACGCGGATTAAGATCGCTTGCTTCATGCTCCAGAGATTTTCATATGACCAAGGAGCAAAAGAGAGGTCGAGGCCCTTCTTCTAGGCACCTTAGGTAATACCTATCTTA